GGGGCTTTTCGCAGAAGTACTTACATCAGCATCAACGCTTGACTCGGGGCATAAGCTCCATAATGTCTGCCTGGTATATGATTTCATCATTGTTTTGACCAAAGCTTCATCAGGAGGAAGGTCTTCTGCAAATATATAGTGAGCAAAACTCACTTCTTCGTCACTATAGTTGACGGCTGTAGGGAGCTCAAACCTTGTGGTACCCTTCAATCATGGAGAACGAACAAATAGAGGAAATAAGAAGAGGTTTTCACTAGGATTACAAGTGGCGGAGAAAGGAACGAAGGAAAACAACGAAAATAGTGGGCGAAAAGGAAGCATATGTACATCACTAGGATTAAGAACAATCACCTTCGAGTCGGGTGTAGGTGGGGGGATGACGTCTTGCATTCTTGTTTTCTTTGCAGGAGATACATAGTTCTCCAATTCCTACAATAATGAACAATCAAGTCAGAATAAGTTTTGTATAAATAACCTACTGTTAAAGCTCCTGGACGAACCATAGACTTGGCTAGAGAACGCGTTAGGCGTACAGTAGACTGGCCGCTCGTCATCTTGTTCTTCTCCCTAATATAATTGTACAAAAAAGCAACGAGAGAGTGGAATATAAGAACAAATACAACGAAATAGCTGACTAAAAAGTTAAAGAAAACACATTAGCGGATTGCAGAACTTACCCTTCCTTCCCCATAATGTTACAGACACAATGTTGACCAAAGGGCCTCTGCGCTACTTTTAGTTGAATGAGTTTTGGGCAAGATGTTTGGTCATATTAATAGATGCGCCAGAGGGGTGTTTAACCTCGTCTATTAGGAAAACCCGTGAGATATCAATTAGAGTTTTTTTATATGTGGGAACTTCTATATTTATCCACCTCATTAAATGAACTTAATAAGGAATTAACTAGTTACGTGTGAACTTCTATATTTATCCACCTCATTAAACCGATTAGGGGCTTCATTTTAGGGTTTTAAGGTTCGAAAAGACAAGACCACGAAAGCAGATGGAAGAAGGGAAGAAGACGATGCCAATTTAACCTCCTTGGTTGGTTGTGGCTCCGCCAGTTTATGAATTCACGTTTGGCCCATTTTCAACCAATAAATTAAGAGTGATCTAGGCTTCCCGCGGCAGGCTTGGTTATGCGAACCAAGGAGGTTATTTAGGCCCACTAGTTTTATTTAAATAGGCCAAACGAATTCAGTCCAGTCCATGGATGTTTTGACCCAAATTGTTCTGTTAAAAACAAGGATTTAATTTCACAGCTTATATACAACATCCGTTAGGTTTTTCATAGTGAAGCGCCAGCGGAGAGGCTAGTTCCTTAGTACTACTTTGGCTACTTAGGGTTAGTTGGCTTGGACAATCACAAGCGCGACGATCATGGAAGACGATGAAATCGTCGAAGTGGAAAACAATGAAGATATTAACAACAGTAACAGTTCAACTATTCACAACGTTCACCAAAGTTCAGAGGTAGAAGATGATGATCTTGCCGATCTCTTACTTCTACAGCAAGAAGATATCGAGAAGCTAAGATTCGCTAACACTGAAGAAGCCTATGATTTTTGGAGGAACTATGGGCTGGTCACCGCCTTTGACGTCAGGAAAGAAGATATTGGCCGAGATAAAGACAAGGTCATGATATGGCGTCGGTTTGTATGTTCTGGTCAAGGAACAAAGCGCGACCGAAAGGGTGAACGAAAGAGGGAACCAAAAGGAGAGACGAGATTTGACTGCAAAGCTAGGATTCGTGTACGACTAGACAAGTCAGATGGGAAGTGGTTTGTGGATACCTTTCATAACGTGCACTCTCACGTAACGGTTCCAAAAATATACCGACACTACATGAAAGGGAATCGACAATTGAGTGATGCAGTTAAAGCAGCAATCAATTTCCGGAGAGCTGCAGGAATGAAAACATCACAGATTGTTTCACTAGCGGTTGCAAAGGCAGGAGGCTATAGCAAGATGGGGTTCACGAGGAAAGATGCGTATAATTACGTGGACAAAGATCGGAAGCAACAGATTAGTGATGGTGATGCTGCGACAGCACTAGCTTACCTACAGGCGAAACTAAGTGCGGATGAACAGTTCGTAATTGAGCTAAAAAAAGACGATGAAGACAGGCTTGTTAACTTGTTCTGGGCAGATAGTATTTCAGTGGCTGATTATGCATGCTTTGGAGAATTATTGGCTTTCGATGCAACTTACAAAAAGAACGTCTACAATATGCCTCTAGTCATTTTTTCAGGTACTAATTCTTTTATTTTCGGTTCATAGTAACTTATATTTTCATTCCTATAAAGTATAAAGAATTTATTCATTGAAACTTAATACCACACGTTAAAGAGCCTAATGCAATATCACTTCCATGCATTATGGGTACAGTGTAATTCTTGTCTTATTAGTGAAGTAATTTTAATAACCTGTTTATTTTTTAGGTGTGAACCACCACTTCAACAGTTGCATATTTGGATGTTCATTTTTGGCAAATGAGAAAGAAGAAAACTATGTATGGGTTCTAGATGCCTTGAGGAGAAGGTTGGGCGGTGTAGATCCTAAAACTGTTGTTACAGATGGAGATAAAGCCATGCGCAATGCAATTCAGCAAGTATTCCCCGATGCGACACATCGTTTATGTGCTTGGCACATAGACAAAACTATTGCCAGAAAAGTGAGGGACAATCCTAACTTCTTGCCACAATGGAAACATTTCGTGTCAGCTGATTGGGAACCTTCAGTATTTGAAGAGAAGTGGAAGACAATGGTCGAGGAGTGCTCACAGCAGCATAACAATTGGGTTTCACATCTATTTGACCAAAGAACTGAATGGGGGTATACATACTTGCGCTCAAAGTTCTTTGCAGGCTTGTCAACAACGTCTAGATGTGAAGGAATGAACTCTCAGCTTACCAAGTATATCGAAAACAATCATAATCTACTTGAGTTCTTTATTCATTTTGATCGTTGGGCTAGGGATATGAGGGAGATGGAGCAACAAGCTGATTTTGAGTCCATCCATCGTGAACGGACAATAACGTCTAATATATTAGTCTCACTTCAGAAGAGTGCGTCTAAATTATTCACAAAAGAAGCCTTTTTCAAATTCAGAGATGAGGTTGAAAAGTCGGGAGCTTGTGTAAGGATGGATTCAGAGATATCGGAAAACCAACGCATTTATAGAGTGACAATGTCAGGTAAACAAAAGGTTTTTCAGGTCACATACACAATTGAGCCCTTCGCTATGGAGTGTAGTTGTAACTATTACCACTATATGGGAATACCATGCGCTCCTATGGTTCATCTACTGAAAGAAGAGGGTATGCTGGAACTTCCAGAATGGTTGGTAAAGTTAAGGTGGTCAAAGAAGCCGAAGACACTTGATAGCTTACAACAACCACACAATATGGACGAGGCTAGACTATTCACATTCAGGTTCGTAGTTACTGCATAAAGCTGGAAATTGTGTGTTACTCTGTTTAAGAAAGCAGTTCAGATGTGTTTATTAAATACTAAGGTGGTACCAGAGGGCGTTGACCCGTTTTAGAACATAAGCTTTCACTTTTTCGTGACGTTTTAATAGAATAATATTGACTGTGGTTTTCAGATATGGGCTTCTTCAACAAAGCAGCTCCCAGTTATGGTTAAAAGGGGCAAAATCAAGCGAAAGCTTCAACCTTGCTCGTACAGGAATTGCATCCATATGTGAATCGCTAGACATGATGAACGAAGGTGATACTGAGATCCCAGATATCAATAGACCAAAGGCAAAAGAGAAACTTTTGGATCCACATCCTGTGAAATACAAAGGTTCGGGTGGACAAGAAAACAAAAGGAAGAAAGGGGAGCAACGAATGTGTAGCAGATGTGGCGTATTGGGTCATAAAAAAAGCACTTGTAAGAAGCCTCCTGATTATGTGAGGCCTACAATACCAGAACCTACTGATACTGAAACTAATGAAGAACAAAATAGTGAAAACGTCGCCAACAACGGAGCTGACCAGCAAGCACCACACATTGGCAGAAAACCAAAACATTGCAGTAAATGTGGGAAGGATACGCATAATGCCAGAACTTGTCCAGAGTTATCAGAGGAGGATACTGAAGAGGATGTTGATACAACCGACATCCCTGATCCACCAACTATAATATTAGAAGTTCATTGTGCATGTCTAGAATACTTTTGGGAAACAATTATTTTCGTTGGAACTAAACTTTATATATTCAATGTTGCAGAAGAAGCCATGTACTAGAAGGGAAGGCCTGAGGAGCAGCAAGAAGGCTAGTTGAAAAGATAGGCATGGATTCTAATAACCGGAGACACATTTCGAATCTGGCCATTTGTTTGATACTCTATGGAAGAGTTAGGTTCTTTGATTGGAGGACGTTATGATGTTTGGTTGGGTATTTTCATACTTTCTGGTCCTGGTTGTTCATGTTTTAGGTTCATTAAACTTCTTTTCCAATCAACAATGTATGCCTCTACTTTTGCTGGTCCAGATTATTTTTGTGTTCAGTTCATTATTCTTGTTTCCATTAAGACCTAGCAAACCAAGAAAGGGCATACTTGAAACTTACCGGTGTGCATAAGCGGAGTGGCCCATCTGTCCTCTTCTTGGAAAACCACTGCACGCCCATCTAGCCAAAGAAGGAAACATAAGGAGTGCCAACTCCAAATTTAAGGTCCACATGATTGCAATTGTGAGTTGAGCAAAGAAGAATAAAATAAGTAGTTGTGGCGGACAGATTTCATTACAAAATAGGAATGTGATAGAGAGTTTGGACCGAAATCCAGGAAGGATTGTAGGCTAGTCTAAGAGAACATGGAGCCACCAAAAACAACAGACCCAAAAAAAAAGAAGCAAGGAAAAAAAAACACCACCAAACCCCACCACCGACACCCACCATCAGATGCACAACGGTAACAGACACCACCGAAAGAGAAAGACCACATGCAAGAACAAAGGCTAGTAGTGTTTTTAGAATTGAGAGCATAAAATTCAGACATCTGAAGGAACAACCCATTTGCCGTTTAACCAGTCCTGATGTGGCCTCAAATCAGCCTGATTGAACGTTATCTTCTCATCATACTCTATAAAGTTAACCACGTAATTGCAGTTGATCAAAACCTTTGCAATCACGCCAACCCACCAGCCCTCGTTGTAGTAAGCATATACTTCATCCATCACCTTGAATCCATCCACAACAATGATCTCCGGCGGACAAGGCCTTATGTTGCAAGCACGAATGTCTTCTCTGAGAAACTCAGTACCATCATCATTCGTCAGGGTTTTGTACTCAATAAGGTACTTGTCTTCACCCGAAAGTTCAATAATTGTTGCAGCAAACCAAGCACCTTTCAAACCGTCTTCGTCAGTTAGCACCTCGACTTGCATTCCTTGAGTGAACTTCATCACTTCCTTGGAACAATTTGAGTTTAGCCACATCTGCATTGTTATGAAGCCATTCAACGAGGTTGAGACATTGTGAAAAACAACAAATGCCATCTCTGATCACCCAATTCTCTACTTTCCTCAACCTAACTAGATCGAGATTCAAAATTCCCTAAAATTGTTATACCAAGCAACGGAGCAGGAAAAGTCATAAAATCGAATTAGCTCACCTCTTTCTCCCGCTGAACCTGTTCGAATCGCGGCTCCCACTTCCCTTTAACCCACTGAACATGCAACCTCAAATCTTTCTCTTCAAACACAATCTGCTCCTCAAAGCCTCTGAGGAACACCGCGAATTTCCCGCAAGAGTGCTCCGCAGTAATAGCCCCTTCCCACCAGCCGTCGCTGTAGAAGGCCTCCACTTCATCGCCGAACTTGAACTGGACCTTCTTCTTCTCGGGAGGCGGCGGTGGCGGACGCAATTGGATCCAATCGAGGGTTTCTTGCAGCAGCTTCTCCCCAGATTCGTCCTCGTAGAGCTGGTCGTACTCGACTACATAACGATTGGTGTTCTTCGCCTCGTGGCGGACGACGGTGCCGGCGAACCAGGAGCCGCGGAACCCGGGGTCGTGGGGGCTGATCTCGACCCGGTCGCCCGGTTTGAATTGGGCGATCCACGAAGAAGATGGGTTCGACATCGAGGGTTTCTTGCAGAATTGCAGGTGAAGACACGGATGGAAGCGGGGTGATTTTGAGAATTGGAGCGGATATGAGAATAATATGATGTACATCAATTTATTATTTATACCCCAAAGAGAAAGGGAATGGGAAAAGACTATGTTCATTTATACCCCAAATAGAAAGGGAATGGAGGGAATGGGAAAAGACTGTTCTGCTAAACTTCTCAGGAATGCGAATGGCAGTCCCGATAAACTACCTTGGTTCCCTCGCTACTTTATTGAGACACATCCAATCTGCTCAAGTGGGATACCCCATCAACTGAATAGTACCTGAATCATTGCATGTCATCAATCAGAGAGAGAGAGAGAGAGAGAGAGGCGATGGCGGTTCCGTGTTAACACCGACGAGTAGAGAGACATGCAAAGTAGATAGACACCATCGATTGGAGACAGGTGGAAGATTTTTTTTTTTTTTTGACGAAATCAGTTTCAGGAAGGAGTACAAAGTATGGGCAAGCCCAAATGAAGAGAACAACAATACAGATAAGCAATTCAAAAGCCCACCCGAAAAGCCCAAGTGCCACACATAACACAGAGAGCCCAAAGTAGACAAATCAAAACCCTAGCTGCCATTGCAACCTTGCCATGCCGCCGCTGCCGCCGGGAAAAGCCTGGAATACCATCGTCACCCGCAACTCCACTCAGAGACCTAGACCAGGAAAATTGAAGTCAAGTGAAAATTGAAGGTTTGCCGGTTACTTTTGGCTATAGAAGTCAAGTGAAAAGTAAACAAAAATTAATAAACCGGAAAATTGACAAGTTGATGGTGTATTATCATGTCACTCCAAAGAAACATGGTCCATTTTAATGAGCCAAGCCGAACTCATTCTCGGCTCTTTTATGAACGAGCTAATACGATCCGAACACGACACAACTCATTTATTGAGTTTGGGCTCATCATGTCGATCAAAATTTTGGCTCGAGCTAGCAAACAACTCATTTCATCCTAATTAGTCATTACTAAGGGGTCATTACTAAGGCAAACATGATTTTATTAGGGTTTAGGGTTTAGGGTTCAGAGTTTAGGGTTTAGAGTTCAGGGTCTAGGGTTCAGGGTTTAGGGTTTAGGGTTCAGGGTTTAGGGTTTAGGGTTTAGGGTTTTAGGGTCTAGGGTTTAGGGTTCAGGGTTTAGGGTCTAGGGTTTAGGGTTCAAGTTGCAGGGTCTAGGGTTCAGGGTTTAGGGTTTTACGGTCTAGGGTTTAGGGTTCAGGGTTCAGGGTTTTTGCTTGTAAGTATGTCCTTCGCGTAGTACATTAGTAGGTACGTGAAGGTTTGCCGGTTACTTTTGGCTATCGATGTCAATTGAAAAGTAAACAGAAATTAATAAACCGGAAAATTGAAAAGTAGATGGTGTATTATCATGTCACTCCAAAGAAATTAGCCAAGCCGAAATTTTTGTCATTGGATTGTGTATTTAGATGTATCGTATAGGCAGTCGTATTTGGAGATTGCCTGTTGGTTTAAACCGAAGATGAAACCTTTGAATAACAGGTATGTACATTTGTGGCCAAAAGCAGCAACCATTGGGCCAGAAGGCCCAAATCAGCCTTCCGGTCAGTCTTTTTTAGGCCGCATTCAATTTACTTAAGCCCTGCTCTTGCCTCCCTCGACAACACAGACCTCGTTCCAGATCTTCGCTGGCATCGGCGGTAAAAACTGCCCCTTTCGACCACGGTGAAAACCCTAGCGCCAAGGTATGTCACTATCTGGTCCTAAGCACGCCACTCAGTAGAAAACATCATATTCCTCTAATAAAGATTACTACGATCGCAGCGGACCAACAAACTATGGCAGTTTTCCGCCGAGACAACCCAGTCGCCTCGCGGGATTACGAGGACCCCACCAATCCCCAAGGTTCGATGTTTGTGTTTCTGTAGGTCTAAATTGGTACTGGATTCGATTGATCCGCAAAACCTTACAATAAATGGTGACTCCACTTAGTTTTTTTCTTGTCTCTATTGTAGACCCCATTTGTGCTTCGATGATGTTTCGAGGTTTGCGGTTGGGAACCAACAACAGTACTGTGATAGCTCGGCTTCTAAAAACGTGGACAGAAGTCATTGACGGAGAGGTTTGGAAAACGCCAGCATTGCGCATGCTCTGGATGGACAAAAAGGTTTGTTTATGATTTCCCAGCAAAAAAAAACACTAGCTGCTTATCTATAACATTCTTTTACACCTGCTAATCCCGCAGAAACGAGTTATTGAAGCTCTGGCATATGAAAAGGACATTGATGACGTGATGGCGAGGATCAAAGTTGGTCGCCTGTATCGCCTAAGCATTATCGTTACAATCCCCTCGAGTAAGAACAAACGCATTGTCCCAGGAGAACTGCGGCTGCTCATGAACTCTGACCAACTGATTGACAACATCGAAGAAGACCAGAACAATCCTAAGTTTCCCCTCGACTCATTCCTGAACTCTCATTTCTCAATGGTCCCTGCAAAGTTTGAAAGTTTCCACTGCCACGCAGGTACAACAATGTACATCACTTTCACGACCAACACACACTAAAAATCCCATAACATCTATGCAATTACAGATGTCACAGGCTGCGTATGGCGAATCACATTACCAAATGCCCTCCAAGATGGCATGCTTGATTTTCATCTGGTTATTGAAGACTACATGTATACTAAACTATGTACCTTAGATCGTTAAAACTTTCGATAATTTATATTTTGTTTGCATTTGCAAAACAGTGGGAACAAGGCTGTTGTGAAGTACTGTGGCTACGATGTCGCTGGTTACCTCCAACAAGCAGCAGATGTAGAGTCGCACCTCCCGCTGATAACCACAGTTACATCGGTAGTCTCCGTGCCCGATGCATGCAACGATGATGGTATATATGAGCTGGAATCGACACAAGCCAGTCGTCTGATTATCAGTTCATACAATGAGACCACTGAAAGAGTCATGAACAGGTATTGATTTCCTAACAATCTCTAAGACAATTTGTTCACTTCAAATATGCTTTCATTGCAACAACTTAGCCTAACATAGACATCTATTTGCAAAACTCAGGTTTCTGCCATGTCGCAAACCGATCAAGTACATAATCTATGGAACAGCTGAAAGGATGGGATACTTACGCTACCCTCGCCCCCCCAAGAAGAACACTTGCTCAGATAAAAGAAGACTTGAGTTCAATACCACAACATCGTGAGGTATATTATGATGCTTTGAAAAATCCCAACATTCAAATATGTTTCACTTGCTATTGCCGTGCACTCTAACCTGGCAAAAACAATTTTTATATTTCAAACCCTCTACTGAACCATAATCAAGTTCACTGATGTCAAATGCAGAACCACTCGGGAAACGCCAAGGTGAGATTAGATATTTAAATTGACCGGTTTGCACTTTTGGCAAGGAACGCTTGCATTATTCTCAACAAAGCTAACGAGCTTCTATTATGACCAGACTACATTACCAAATCGAGGCAAGGTGCAAATCTGAATCATCCGAGGCCGATGTTGTACTCAACCACGAGGCAGCTCTGTCAATACTCTGCATGATGCCGGCAAAGTATCTCAAACTGAACGAAGATGAAATAAAAGACATCATCAAGAAAAACTGCAAGAAGACCTTCGCAGCAGAACTGTACATTGCATGGCCAAACCAAGGTCAGAGCACCGTGCCGCACATCAGGGTTGCCACACTTTGGGATCGCTGTGCTTTCGACGATTGAACATCAACTTCGACCAGCTACATTTTGAATAAGGAAAACTGCTACTGATTGACCGCCTTTTGCTGTTTCTACCTAAGCCCTGACATAATTGACAACACTTTTGGTCTAGCCTTTTGTCATGTACATGCCGTTCACTGAACATGATGCACATATTTTGTAGATCTTTGTTGATCTGTCTATTTCGCAGCAACAACTACCACCTGGCTTAATCAGGTAGTTCAGTCAAACTGTGAATCTATTGTGAATGCTTAGGACACATTTTGGTAAATACTTTTGCATATGTACCTATATTCAGTGTTAGACAATATTGATATGCAGATGTCCTTAATGGAATAAGTTGCAAGGGGAAAAACACAGATTCTGAGACGAAAATTGGTGTCCAAAAATAAAACACATCCCGCAGCGCGGGCTTATTTTATTGTATTTTGTCATAGAAACCCTTGCGGATTAACTAGGTAAGCACGAGAGAGCCACAATACAACGGCTTCTTCGTGAAATGATAGTCAAAGCAAATAAGAACAATTAAAACGAACATTACAAGAGCCAGAGTAGCATAAGGCATTACGTGCTACAACATGGGCAGCCCGATTCGGTTCTCTAGGAGTAAAAGCAACAGAAACCAATGGCAATTCTTGCAACATAAAGATGACTTCTCGTAAGATAGCCCCCACAAGGGCATCATTGGCATCAGAAGTCTTCAAATGTTGTACAACTGCAATAACTTAAAACCAAAAATGAAATGCTGCTGATGGGTTTCGAACCCAAGCCAAAAATTAGGCTTGCAAACTGCCATCCGCTGGACTGCAATCAACATTCTTTGTTCAATTGTGTACGCTTATTAATATGAATCATCCCGCAGCGAAGCGCGGGCTTATTCCCAGTAGTAATAACTTAAAACCAAAACTGAAATGCTTCTGATGGGTGTCGAACCCAAGACATAAATTGGCATTGCAAACTTCCATCCACTGGACTACAATCAACATTCTTTGTTCAATTGTGTACGCTTATTAATATTAATCACGGAAACAATTTGCTTGCCACTTAACCAACAAAAACCTATTTGTCCAAGTTGATTAACGAGCTCTACATATTGTGTACATTTGAGGGCCAAAAGCAGCAACCATTGGGCCAGAAGGCAACCAAACTAGCATCCCAAGTCAATTAATCACTTATTGAAAGTCTTCTGGACTTATTTTGTTCATGAAAACCAGCCATTATTATATAGCTGTACTGAAGTGTGATGTTTATTTTCAAGCTATGTGGTAGAATCGTTGCTTCCTACGTTGGACTATATTGTTCAGCTTGTAAAACTAACGATCCTAGCTAGCTATGTATATATTTTGACATTTTTTGCAAGC